CCTTCATCACTGTCTTTGAGCCACCCAGGAATTTCACTGTGGCACTTGTGCGTCCTTGCTTTTGCGCTTCTTGTTGTATGTGTGCTTTCCTCCTCATTGCTTCTGCATGAAATTTCCTTGTCCATTAGTTTCTCATTAAAAGTGTTGGACTTCAGTGGGTTCCTTCAAATTCCAGCAGTTAGTTACTGTGTGAGTTTGCATGTCATTGACACCGGGTGAATCTTACCTTTACAGCTCCTGATGTTATCTTGTCCTTGTTGAGTTGGCGTGTCGACTGTGTTGAAAGGGTGCTGCAGAACTGCACGTCCTCTGTTCATCACTGATTTACAAGTCGATTTTACACTATCACAAAGTTCAGTGTGCATTAGTCCAGCCCAATATAGCACATAAATTTTTATCAATATAATCTTCTGGGTCCAGCACTGTCGGGTTTTTTTTATTTGTCTAATGGTTTGGGGTTTTTTTTTCCCCCCTGGGAATTCTTATCAGATGCCAGTGTGCATCTTTGCAGTTTGGCAGTTTACTGGGCAATCAGCTAAATGGCAGCTGAGACTTAAAAAGCAGGAACATGTTTATAATATATTACATTTGTAAACTTCAAATATTTCAAGAAGTACTTTTACCTTTTTTTGGTGGTTATTGCTATTTCTTTACTTTACTTGATTCTCCCCAGTGTCTCAGTGCAGTATTGCTCTATTTCCAGGGCAGCAGGGGAATGTTTACATCCAAACAAAATCTGTTTTCTTTGAATTATTTAATTGCAAGCATTTTTGTCCATGAAATTCCTTTCCACGTAACTCAGTCACTGTTTAGCTTAATTTTTTTTGTTTGTTTCCATGCAAAGCCTAAAACTCAGATCACATTCAGTTTGAAGTTTTTATTTTCTGAACCACATTATGAGCATTACATTTGCACCCACATCAGCAGATGTAGAAAATGCCACTTGCCACTGAAAATGGCAGTCCTAATGATCTGAAGTCAGGAATGGTTGTTTAAAAATGGAAATATGGGTTCCACTGCCTTCAGATATTATAAACACCATCAGCATTGGTGATGTTGTTCAAAGTGTCCATAAATGCCCTATATTATCCCAAAATACGAGGGTAAATGAAGTAATGAGGCTATACGAAGTCTCAGCCTGTGACTGTGTGTGGCTTGTTCTGCAGAGGCAGTCATAGGTAGTGAAAGGGCTGGGTGTGCTGGTGTCAGTTGGTGGGGCTGCTTTATTGATAGGCTGCAAGACAACATGGTGGCAGAGGACCTGGACTGTGTCTTCCCCTAAAGATGTCCTTGGTATAAACAGAGACAAGACAGCTCCTTGAAATGCCTAACACAGGCCAAGAGTTTGTACCTCCCCTACTTAAACTTTCCACCCTCCACTTGGGCATTCTGGCATTTATCTTCCACTATACCTCCCTCATCTCCTTGGGGTTTTTTTCACACCATAACAGTCAAATGTCATTCATGCTGGTGTTTGTCAGGAAGAAATACCACCCATGTATGCAGATGGTTCCCTACCATATACGTGTCTCCCATGGATGATCCATACATTGCTAAGTGAAAAGATTTTTTTCCCCTTAAAGCTGGGAAATTAAGTTTATACAAGTACTTAACAGAGGTGCTGGGATTACAAATGTCAGCAACCCCGGAGTCTTGAGAACAAAATAAAGATCAGTTTTAGGTGGGGAAATCTCTGAGGGTGCTTTTGCTCAGGGCATGCAGGTGTCTGTCTTGCTGCACTTCGTGTGACTGTGCAGCTAATAAGGGACTTGAAGCAACAGGCTGCTCAAAGTGCTGTGGGTTGGGAGGAGAAGCATTTCATTTTCCTTCTTCCTGTGTTGTTTTCCTTGTCCTTTCTACTTCAGCAGCAGAAAAAGGAGCCCTGGCCAGGCTGCTGGTGATGCTGACCCACCAAGCATCAGGGCACTTCATAGAACTGGTTGTGGAACTGTGCAGATCAAGAAGGGAGCTTAAAAGATCACTTTTCTTCTTGTGCCTTAGCGTGCTGCTTTTTTTTTTTTTTTTGCCTTTTTTTTCTTTTTTTTTTTTTTTTAAAAAAAAAGGCATAAAAAGCACTTTCATTGTATCACTGGAACGTGCAACAAATAGTAACAACACATAATCTACAGTTGCAAAGGCTTTCTAGGGAGAGTGGGTGGTATCTGGTACACACCATTTCCTAAAAGATGCATTTTCTATTTTAAACATTTTGATTGCATGCAAATGAAAAGGAATAAAATTGAATCTTCCAGTACAAAAAGGCAGAGCACAATACAATTTACCAGTGTGTTAAGATTACTTAAAATGTTTTGTGGTTTTGTTAGCAAGCATTTAAAAACATGGTTTGTTTTGGGGGGTTTTTTTGTCAGTGCTCAAAACTTTGAAGAGAAACTTCCAGTGTAATTACAACACTGTTGCGAGCAGCACAAGTTGCGTGTGGCCCTGTATTGCACAGATGTATAAGTAATCTAATCTACTCCCCATCAGAAGGGAGAGGAATGCATAAGCATATCCTTTATCTGCCTCTTGTATGAGGAAGCTGTTAATACGGAGTGCTTCCCAAAGTGGAGAAGCTGAGAACAAGACCTTGGGTCCCCTGGTTCCCTACTGGTTCACAGTAACTGAACTGCTGGGCTCGGAGCATGTGGTACTTTTTCACTTCTCTTGATCTCTCCAGCTCACAGTCTCTGAATGACCAGTTTCCACAGAGCATGGAAATGAAGAAAGTTATTTTTTGTGGGTTTTTTTCTGGTGTTCCTGCAGCTTCAGTCTTGACATCTTGTTCTGTGAAGCTATTGCAAGAAGGAATCACTGGAACCAAGAAACAGGTGAGGAGGGCTGGTAGAGATGTTTCCTCAGGAGTGTAAGACAAGTGCAGTGAATGCTACTAAGCTTTCTGAAGTCCAGGAAGTGTCAGTTATAGCTTGCTTCATATCTCACAGTGGTGGAGGACCAGAAAAGTTAAACCTGCTTGTGTTGCCTAGCAGTGTACCACAGCATGCCCTGTGTATCATCACAGAGTGGCAAGGGATGGTTTGGCTGTGGTAGGAGGAGAAAATTATTTGACAAAACATGTCCTGGTGAGATGGTTGACTCTGTGGCTTAACCTGGCAAGCCACAAGAAAGTAAGACATATTTTACCTCTCTTTCAAAATACAGAAGTGACTTTCTTGAGATGAGGATGTTGCCTTGAGCATGTGTGCCTGTTTGATGTAGTGAGTATTTTAAAAATAGTGCTGCAAATGCTTGGCCCAGTCAAGCAAGAACCTGAAAGCTTTGAAATGTTAGCTCTAGATAGCCTTGTC